GGGGGGTGATGGTGGTGCATAGGAAAGGGAGACCAATAACCCAGCAAGCCAAACTCTGGCAAAAAGTCCTTCCTGTGGTCTGACTTCAATCCATTCTGCTGCAGCCCACATTAGTCCTTGTTACATCCTTACTGAGCGTGGGAACATCTGCAAAGAATCTAAGATGGGGAGATATCCAGTTCCCTACTACCACCCTTGCCCTGCTAAGTAGTTGCTTTAAGAGACTGGGTGTGGCCCCCTCCTTGTAGTCAGAGTGGGGGTAACCTATCCCCTCTCAATTCAACACCTGCCTGCCTGCCCTGTGGCAAGCACAGAGCCAGCAAGCTGTAAAGGGCATAGGGATGTCAGGGCATCCCCAGGTTGGCCACCTAGAGGGGACCAGGTGCCTCTGTTTTCCTTCTTTGCCTCCTGCCCCAGAATGCCCTCTTCACCTGTTTTGGACCCATCCTTCCCTTCGACAAAGTGACAGATACTCGACTCTCTTGATACTCAAAGCGCAGTCCCCAGAGTGCCAGCATCACTCGGGAAGTCACTAGAAATATAGAGCCTCAGGGCGCCACCCCAGGCCTCCAGAATCCGAATTAGAATTCTAGCCAGATTCCCCAGGTGACTCAGCCGCACTGCCCCATAACTGCGGGAATTTGGGGCTGTTTTATTCTTGTTCTCCGTAACATCTTCAGGACCTAGGACATGCACAGCACAGTGTAGAGCTTCAACAACCATGTGTTGAATAAACATGATTCACCCACAACTCCTGCCCTTCGCTCGTCCCTCCGCTCTCACTGCCATTCTGACTCACAGCACCCTACAGGACAGGGGAGAACTGCCCTGCCCGTGTGGTTCTCTGAGACTGGAAGGTTTCACGGGAGGGAGTAGAAAAATTCATCTTTCTCCTGAGCAATGGCTAGTGGATTCAAACTGCTGGTCTTGTGCTTAGCACCTCAGCGAAATAACCCACTGCACCACCAGCCATAAACAACATCACTTACAACCTGCCTCCTTGTTGACACTGCTCGCCTACTGGGGTTTTTTTATGCAGGATTCCAAACCGGTTCGTTCTGGTCTCCCTCCCTGCTGAAAATTTGCTCTTCCACCCCAGATACACTGAATCTATAAGTTAACAAAACTCCCTAGGTACTGTAAGCCTAACCAAGTATCACCTGGAGATCCTGTTAAGCTGATAATGGACACAGTGTGTCAGCAGGGAGAGGAACCGAACAGCCTGGTTTTGTTTGAATGACGTCAGAGATACGGTCTTCCCAGGCTGTCTGGGGACTTTCTACTCCCGGAAGAAGGAGTTACAGTCTCGGAAACCCACAGGGGCAGTTCTAACCCTGTCCTAGAGGGTCTGAGTCGGATTCGACTCCATGGCAGTGAGCTTGGTTGAGCAGACACGGTTCAGCCCAGCACAGAGGGCTTTGAACCAGGGATGAAAGTTTTCCCTCCCTGGAGCTTCTCCTAATATAGCAGCATCTTTACAGTTCTCCATTTTTCTGCACAAAAATCCTATGAGATCTTTACAGAAGCATCAGTTGGGGTTCAGAGAAAGTCAAAACGTCCTCCAAGACACCCAGCTGTGTCCAGTGGGGGCTGATTGGAAACAGCCAGGAGGAGCCAAGGCCCTCTGACTCCGAAGTCCAAGATCCTTTCTAACTCCAGGGGCAAGAGGGAGGAAGCAGGTGAGACCAGGCTTAGCTAGGAGACCACTCTGACTGGCTTCACGATCCTGTGGCCTCAGGCCAGGTTCTTACCACTCCCCTCCTGTGCCTCCCTTCATTTGTGAAATGGGATCTACTTCAGTACCTACTGCCCAGCCCTGGGCTGGGGAACGCCAGCAGCAGAGGGGTTACAAGTTGGGCTGTGATCCTCAAGGTCAGCAGTTTGAAACCATCAGCCACTCCTCTGGAGAAAAACGGGGCTTTCTACTCCAGTAAACAGCTACAGTCTCTGAAACTCACAGGGGGCAGTCCTACCCTGCCCTATGGGGTCACTGTGAGTCAGCATCAACTCAGCGGCAATGCGTGTTTTCCCTCACTGGCTTTACTTCAGTGATCCAGGCAGCTGCGGTCCCCAGGTGCTTAGCCAGAATGCCTGGTGCTTAGGACAGCCTCAAATGCAAACCAGATGCCATCAGTTGCTTCTAATTCATGGGAGAGTTCATTGGATGGCAGCTGTCTCTGATAAGGGTGATGTATTCATTACTCCCCAGTTCTGTCCTCTCTCCTGTGAGTCCCTGAATACAGTCTTGCTCTAAGCCCCTGTGCCTGGGCAGGAGCCCTCAATCCCTGGGTTTCCTCCTCCAGTGAGAGTGGAGCTGAGAGCCAGGACTGAGGGGAAGGGGTCCCCCACTGATTAGCTGGGGATAGTGATGCCCTCCTGCTCCCTAGCAGACACCCACAAAGCCAACAGGCATCTCTTCCAGGGATTGCACAGAGAACATCTTACTGCCCCCCCCCTGTACCCCTCAGAGGGTGTACCCCTCAGAGAGGGGAGGGGAGGGGAGGAGAGGAGAGCCACCCTGAAGGTTGAACCTGCTTTCTACAAGGCAGTTTTTTTCCATCCTGTCCCAGAAGTGCTGGCCTCTTGGATTGGCAGTGAGCAGGCTGCGATGACAGGTGTGGAGCTAGGAGGCAAAAGTAACCTCTACAATCACTCCCTGAGGGCCCTGCTGCTGTATCCCTCCACTCCACAGGGACAGCTCAGACCCTCTCTGCGTCACCCACTCCTCACTCCTCTCCCCAGTTCTTCCACCCAGGACTTTCCCCCAAATCTTGATATGAACCACGTGAGGGAGAAAGGGGAAGAGAGGAGAGGGTAGGAGTTCCGAAGCCCAGCGAGGTCTTTACCAGTGGGGCTGCTGCGCCTTAAGACTGCTTCAGACAGTTGCCAAGGCAAGGGTCCCTAACAGCAGACTGACTGCCCTAGGGCCAGGGCTCTGAAGATGCGTGCTTTCAGCCAACCAGCAGCCCTCCAAGGTAGAGAGGCTTTGTGATCTCACCCTGAACTTGGAGAAGCTTTTCTCCTGGTCCCCCTTCTTTCCTTTCCCTCCCCTTCCCCACCAGGGCTTGTTGTGCCCCCCCCCCAAGGGACAGGCCACAGGAGGCCTGCCGGACGTCCTGAGAGCGTCCTTTCTCTCCGCTTTATGAAAGTCACACATGTTGTGGCAGGTGTGACCATGCGGAGCCAGGAGAGCACCGTTCCCTTTCTAAAGGAATGTTTGCAGCCAGACGTAAGCCATGGACTTCCCTGCTCCCTCCCCTCTTTGCCTTCCCCAACGTTGCTGAGATAAAAAAGATCCCAACAAGAGATTTTTTTTTCTGAAACAGGAAAAATGGGGGTGGGGTGGGGGGCGGAGCAAGACGCATCTTGAAATGATAGGGATCTGCAGCCCACGCCCCTCAGCCAGCTACCCCTTACCCTCCAGCCAGGATTCCAAGTCCAGAGCCAGCCCCGCAGGGGGCAGGGGGTGGGGTGGGGATGGATCCCAGTAGAGTAGGGAGGGCGATCTGGAGAAGGAGGAGGAGGACGCCGCCAGGCACTCTGTGGATAGAGGGGCGACAGGCTGGTCCTAAAGGGGCAACGGAGAAGACAAGCTTCCCCAGTTCATTCCCCCACCCCACCCCCATCAGGAAAGGGGGGGGGGAGACAAGACCGGAGCACCCTCCAGGATTGGGGGAACACGGGGTGGGGGGTGGGAATGGGGGCGTTGTTCCGAGAAGAACAGTTATCCAGTGGCTTTTGAGCGCCTTTGCCACATCTGGTCCCTTGTGATGGGCTGGGACCTAAGGCCGAGAAGAAGGTCTCTCAGCGCAGTCCTCGCTCGCTCGGGGACTCCGAAAGAGAGATGGGGAAGAAGCCAGAAGGTGCGGAGTGACACCCTCAAAGCAAAGACTGGAGACGCAAGCAAACCCTGGTGTTTTGTTTGTTTTCATTGTAATCGTGTGTCAACGGGGTCGCTCTTTGCCTGATCCAATCTCTAAGGCTCGCGCTGGGTGGAGCGCCATCCGTGCCTTCAGCGGTCATGGGTGGGGTAAGGTAGCTGGCCCCTTTTCTCCCCCTTCCGGGGGCGACCTAAAGCGATCCGGGGCCCAGTGAAATACCCACTGCAGGCCCCAGAAGGGCGACAGCACAGGCTCCTGGACCCCCACCCCACCCGCCACTCCCGAAGAAAACTCAACTGGGGGATAGTTTTTGCCTTAAAGGGCCTGAGCGAAGATGAGGCCGGAGCGAGGGCACCGCTTAGGGGAGAGTCTGGGGAGCCGGGACCGCGGTGCGTCCTTGGGCCAAATGGCCGGCATCCGGCGTCTTCCCACCCGGAGGGAAAGGCGCGGCGCCCTCGGGAGCTCTTCGGTGTGAACGGCTGGGCTCTTGCACGCTGCCCATGACTGTGACTTGGGAGATGGTCCTGCCCCGGCCATCTAACTCCGGTGAAGTGGCAGCAGGGTCCCTGGAGCTGAGAGCTCGCCGAAGGTGCCTGACCCGCCCGCCCCGAGAGCCTCACTCACCACCAGGACGTGTCGACGGGCGCCGGCAGCGTCACCAGCAGCAGCAGCAGCAGGCAGGCGAGACCCAGGCGGGCCGGGGCCCGGCAGCCGTCGGGGGGCGGGGGGACTGGGGCTCGGGCGCGCCTTAGCGGGAGCTGCGCGGCTTCCTCCGCACCCCCTGGCCTCAGCATAGCTCCCCAGAGACTCTCCTGCTGCGCGGCCCGGGTGGGGTGGGGCGTGGACTGGGGGGTGCTCAGTCTGTCCTTGCCTCACCCCCCTGGGAGGCCTTGGGGCTCACCAGCAGCTGGGGACCTAGGGGGACTTGGCGTGCAGGAGCCCGGGCGCAAGCAGCGGCGGCCGGGGGACGACGGCAGCACGCCGAGCCCGGGCACCCCGGCGCGCTGCCCCGGGCACGGGGTGCGGAGTGAGGGGC